ATCTCTCCCAGTTATTACCCTCAGCCACGGGTTGTCGGTCAAAGCGGCCTGCGCGGCCGCTGCAGTGGCGGTCAGTGTTTGTACGGCTGCGAGGACAGACCGGCAGATAAACGGAGAGACACACAGCTCGTATTTTGCCATCGTTCGGAATCAGCGTAAACTGCAATGGATGGTGGCGAAAGCCTCTGGCGCCAAAAGTTCGTTATCCGCCTCTTTATACGGGCGTATTGGGCCAACCGAGTCCCCTGAAAGAGGAGGACTTAATCCTTGCTTTCATTATTTACCGTGTTTTGAAGAGGAAATCCGTGCTTTATCGAATAAAATTCTACGAGTCAAGTTTTATCGACACATTTACACTGCAAGTATTCTATTATGCGGACATGTAAGTTCATGATAAAAGCAAAAAAAGGACGCCCTCAGAAAGACAGTTGATGAAGCACCTAATTTAACGGTGAACATGCTTCTATTTCGAAAAGGAACTCCATTTCTGGTTAGCTGTAAATCTGGGTTCCTTTGCTGCACATCAGTCAACTGATAGTACCTAACAATAAATAATTACCTCACCCTTACCGTATTGTGACATGCAGATGGATGTGATTTAAATATAGTAGGCGAGGACTCGATACTGGCCAGCTGCCAGCGTGGTACCTTCTATCGAACACCAGCGTTGCGGAACGGAAAGAAATATCTGGAATGGCAGACGTTGTGCAAAAAATTTTAGTATTACTAATGCTGACACAATTAGGTCGTACTTTTTATCGGGTCAGACCGGGTCATATATTCAAATAGTAATTCATTTTTGCTGAGGAAGACGACAACTAGAGCCACACGCTGGGTTTGTGCAGCTGCAAAGTGCAGCTTCTAACCTGCGCCGTAAATAGCGTTCAGACAATTATAACCAATAATTGACGGCTGTGTGATTACAATATGAATGAATAGATGTTTTTTTTTTTTTACTGCATAGTATTAGTATGGAGCTGCTTGGGAAAATTTCTACCTTATTTACTATTTGTGCTCGTCATGGAGCTTATGCTTAATTTCTCCGAAGCTTCAAATAATAGATGAAATCTTTTTTACCATTTCTTTTGTTGATTACCCACAAATACTATTATCTAAAATTGTTGAGCTTTTTAGCTTCACTTTTGCAGGGGTCCTTTCTGCATTAGCTATTCGTTATTGATATGATCTTGTTTAGTCGTTTGAGGGAATAGCCTTCGACCATACTTTTCCTGGAGTAAATTTATCATTGTCTATTGGTTAAAGAATACGTTTTCAGTGATTCTCTTTTCCCTACCAACTGCTCTAGCCAGCCAGAGCGGTAACCGGACACATGGCTGCCGTGTCACCGTGGGCGTACGTTGGCCAAAAGATCCACCGGCATAATTTGGACTGGACCGTTCTTTTTCTTTCTATTCAAATGGTGATACTTTGCCGATATATCCCTGCAGCTCTAACCAGCATTAGATACATTCAGGATACAGGCTGGCCATCATTGTTGGTTAAAGGATTGCTCCGACAAGCTGCCCGGTGATGTTGCCATGACAAGCACTCGCGCATCATTCGCCCTACGTTCAAGCTTCAGTGTTTATTTCATACTAATCTCATAGTTAATATGACATTTGACTTCGGCTGATACAAGTAATTACATGGCATTTCTATTAGTCTTACCAATAAAATTCATGTAAAAAATACAAGATGCAGCCTAGATTCAGTACCAGCCTTTTCCTTTTTTAACAACAGTGTACCACATGGCGCCAATGCTATGTTTGTCTACTGCCAATTGATCTAATGCCCCCGGGGTCTTCCTTTTTGGCTAATTGATAGTTGGTACAGTTTCGTAATATATCCAGAAATACACTATCAAAATTGGAATTCGTTAATATTATGTGTTCGGCTAACAGGTCCCGGCGCATGAATAGCTGCAAAATAAGAGGGATCGCTGGCTGTGAATATATTTTGGATACAAATATGCTCATACGAAAAACAGATACATATGCATATAAAATAACATATATCTTGGCGATAGAGAAGCCACACGAGCCGTGTGAATTGTTTTTACATAACACACACACACATGTTACGCAAGTGACGGCAGGGAACGATGTTCTTCTTTTTTTTTTTTTGAATAACAGTTCCCTCTGAAAGAGGAAGATGTATCGATGATGATATTACGTTTGATTGCCCCGTTGAGTAGATCATGCGTAATAAATTTGTGTGAAAGTTTATACGAAGGTGATTTTATTAGCGCCAGGCCGCAGACTGGCTTATTGATTATTTTTTCCTACAAAATAAATAGTTTATCGAAAATTGAATTGATAGTAACAAGCGAGACACAGGTAGGCAAAGCCAATTTGTATTACAAAGCGAATTAACAGTGAGGTTTATTTGCGTATGGCCTTAGCCAACGTACTGATTTTCTGCCGGCAAACAACAAACGGTCCACCATACTCAGACGTATGTAGAAAACGGGTTCTGTGAAGAACTTAACAGGCTGATTTCAATTGAACGTGACGAAGGTGATCTAGATTGAAAATTTCTGATAAAACCTCTTCTAAAAGGTAGATACGTTGATTGATGAGGTTGATGCTATACGATGGTGTGAAGAAATACAATAACAGGCTTCTACAATGTACCTACTATGGGAACTGAACAATTATGTCTCTATTTCTATTGTGATCCTGGCGGTACAATCACTACCAAATCAATTTATGATGATTTGCAGTTTTATTTGTTCAAATCAATGATTTCTATTTGACGGAAGACGACGAATATAAGATTATCAGAAAATGTCTGGGCTTTCTTAAAGGAGACGTGGCGTATGTTTATATGGCGCTAGAGATTTAGCTTAAGTTGATTGTCTGTCCGCCTGTAAATACGATGTAATGTAGGTTAAAAATAAAACTGGGCCTACAGATTTACGCCTCAGCAGTTGGACTATAGATAGAGAATCAGATGCTCGAGTATTTTTAGCCACTGTTATCTAGACCCTAATAGCCACCTCTCTGCCGCGCCGATAATGTCAATCTTCGAGGCATATAGAGTATTGCAGGAGCTTCGTCCAATTTCCTCCAACCCAGATAGACAGACGTCAAGCTCCTTCTAGTGCCGAACAGGGCACGTGGCAGGTGGCGAAAGTTAACTTGAAAGCCACCACGGCGCCGCTCGATAAGTTAATCTACTATTAAGTTATTGTGGATAACTATTCATGGTTGCCACCGTATGCTTGTTTAGTTTTCATCTTTGTTGTTGTGTCTTCCGAAAATAGCTTAATATTTTTGCTCCTACGAATCTGTCTGCATTCGCAGGGGGGAATTTAGTCATTCTTCCAACCTCGGGGACGTGTCCTGCCGAGGGTTATCTGTATGTCCACAAGCGGCCTAGGTGGCATAAACAGGCTAATTGAGGAGTAAACATTGTTTAGTCGTTTGAAAATGACGGCTCTGTCGTCTGTTTGCCCGGCTGTTTACCCAAACATTGGGTTTCCAATATAACTAATCTGTGATGTGGATTATGTATTTCCAATGACGAAGAAATCACCCCATATATACGTATACTACTATTATATGTGGAAATGACGTACAGATGTATCACACCTACAAACACATGAAGTTGCGGGCTCGATGTTTGAAAAGGACACAGATTTTTTAAAATTATTATTATTGAATTTTTTAGATTATTATTATTTATGACCAAGCTCTAGACGTTCTATTCCGTACGAATAAGAGGGGTGATAAACACAATCGTGTTTTAATTTAAAGCCATAAAAGGAACCTCTTGTGATTTTTGACGAGCAAATAACAAATCGGCGTCTTCATGTCTATCGTTATACGAATAGGTATACTATTAATAATAAAACGGTTAGGATACAGACTCTTTTCATCTTGATCCTGAGTTCCATGATGCGAGTATCCTCATCTTTGTTCCTGTTGTCAGTCCACTGTATGTAATTTTCATTTCCTTGTATCTGTTTAGCAGACCTTTCGTAACCTTCAGAGTTTACTACTTGTTCGCTTCCGTCATCTCTTTTTCGCATACTAGTTTGTAATCATTGTATTCGAGCCCCTTCTATTACCACGAACGATTGTCGGCCCGCCCCTGCTCGTCTGCCTTCCCACCTGTTAATGTACTCGGCCCGGCTTTGTATGTTATTTTTCCGATCGAACTACTTTTTATTGTTGCCTTTATCGTATTCCTCGTAACTTTCAGCGTTAATTCATCTTTAAACAACAACGCTATGGTGCCACACGGCGGCGTGCCGTCCCTAATTACCGCGATGATCGTCGTCACCTTCGACGCGTGACCATCGCGCAGCGTTGCTCTGCGGCCACAGTTTACTGGCAGAGATTCGCCCAGCCAACGACAATTGTCCCTCTTGCATTAGGTTGGCGCCCATAAAGGCTACAGTCCGCCTTTATATCTGCCATCTGTGGCCTGTGGTAGCAACTGTCCTGCCTACCAGGCCGCTGCTGTATGTGTACGATTCTATAATATTATATCCTAGACAACAACTATAACACACGAGCCGTGATGGCTAGCTGCTGTGTCGGGACGGTTCCGTTGTGATAACGCTGGTCGTCGTTTCCTCTAACGGTGCAGACTCAACCGAGGGAGAAGGGTCATCAGGCTCTCGAGAGGCTCTCGCGCCATGCCTGGTAGAGCCTAAGCAAGCCGCGCGCTCTACTAGCGGCGGCGGCGGCGGCGGCGGCGGCGGCGACGGCGGCGGCAGCAGCAGCAGCCGGTGACGACCGCTGCTGCTGCCTCTTTGCTGCTGCACGGCAGCGGCAGCCGGCCCCGACGCGGCGCGAGCGGCGGAGGGCCACCTCCGCCGCCGCTGCCGCCACACGGCAGCAGCAGTGCTCTCTGGTTCGGCGCTGCCTCGCGGCGCTTGAGAAGGTACGGTCTAAAAATAGATTGGAGAGCGTCAGCGGCGGCAGCCGCTGGCACAGAGTAGCAGTGGCGCTGATGGAGATGGTACACTGGCCACGGCGACATGAGCCGCAGCGGCAGCCGGTGGTCGTCGCGCTACTAATGGCAACCGTGCTAGTGACGTCCACGCAACTGCAAAGGCGGCAGCAGTTGGAAGTGGCCCTCGGTGGCGGTACGGCCGTGCTCTTCTACCCGATGCTTCGCTCCCCTCTACTGGACTCCGCGTCTGTCGTTTTCGCCTGCGAGTGACCGAGAGCAAGCGCGAGTAACAGATTGGCAACAACAAACCCAGATAAGTGAACAGTTTGTGTGCGACGGGTCGCGCCAGCGCTAGAGATGGTCGGCGACGTGGAGAAACTGAAAACTTAGCGCGTTGAAACGGAGCGCCAGCATTGCGTGCTCACTAGGTTGTTACGGCTGGAGTGACAGCGACGCCGCTGCTACTTTTAGCCGACTAGTGGATTGTTCCAAGACGAAAGCCAGCGAGCCCAGCTAAGTTGAATCAGCTTTAAACGCAGTTATATGCAGCTTTCATTGTCGTTAGTGAACAGCACAGACTCACTTTCCTCGTAGCTTGTGGCTGTGCATGATATCGTGCAGGACAGTTAGTGGGCCAGCCAACCGACTCTGGAGTATAAAGCAGCAGGCAAGAAATTCGTCTAAACGGCGGGAGTAAACAATGGCAACTCAATAAATTCTCCGGCTACCACTGCCACCGATATGAGCATGACACTTGACTATATCAACTGCATTCTAAGTCAATAGACAACGACACCAATATGAGCTGGACGTACTTCTACGAGACGCCATTGCTAAATAGCGTTTCGTGGACCGCGTCGCAGATATAGCAGTTGTCGCCGTTACTACTAATGCGATTGCTAGGGCTCTACGATCGCAGCAAATTCAATTTCACGAAACAAAGGTCGGCAGAGTAGCGGGAGTCAGTGGTACTTTAATGCTGTACATCCAGCCTGTTAGACCGCCATGGTCGGTGGTGGCGTGTTGTCAGGAGTTCGCTGCTAAGTGAACTTGAAGCCGGACCTTTGTCGTTGTCAAATAACTACGACCTCTCTTCTTTTCGGGTAGCCACAGTTAGACGTTGCCATATATTAGTTGCTGTATCAACCTGCGAAAAAGGTCTGGGGTCTAGAGGCGGTGCTTCCCAAAAAGGCCCGAATAAAAAGGAACAGTATTCGTAACGGACGGAACAGCTAAGGCAAAACACCAGAACGTGTGTGACCGCCGCTGCGAAACAGCCCAGAGAAGCCAAAACATGAACGAACATCGAATGACAGATAGAATCTTGAAAAAAAAAAATGTAAACGAAATACATGAAAAACCAAATCTAGGTAGACAAACAGAAACAATCATTCAGGCAGGGACTATATATTATTGATGTTGTTTTTGTTGATATGGCGCAGCACGACAAACACGCTGCTCTGTCGTCCCGTGGTCGATGCTCGAAATCTACAGAGACACTACCGTAATTTCTGGCTAATTACCTGAACAGCGAAAGCAGGTTTTATTTGGTTTGTAGCGGTACGTTCGTACGACCCGTGCATATCTGCTGATGCCACTGATCAAATGATGTTGTGTTATACGACCATTCACTGCGTTTGTTCTATTGTCGTAGCAGTAGGATAATTTCCAGTGAGAAGTATTGCTATTGTAGAAAATTAGAGCGCCACACAATGCCCTGGCTGGGCATTGTTGAGTTCCAGGAAAGTGTACACTATAAACTATATTATATATAGTTGGAAGTCAAGAGTAACGGACGCCGCAGTAGCGGTCTGCCAATCGGTCATTAAATTTTTTAAACTTTGGGAAACGCCAACGTAGTTGTTACGTTACGAGTCGCGACTACAAGTCAGATATGTAGTTAGAGAAGCAATAGATAAAAATTGTCTCGGGCAGAATCTGTGTATCTGTGGCGTTACCTAGAACGCGCAGCGGCAACATTCACATATAGTTTGGTGGTCACAGAACAATAGCCATCTCGCTTTATTATTCCAGCCAAGCTGTTAGCGACGAGACGCGAGCGCAAACAGCTGGCGTACTCTAGCGGGGCAAGTTTACGTTAGCGTTTCCGTAACGGCTAACGCTATCGCTACGATGGCTACACTGTTGACGCTAAAACTGCGGCAACCAACAAGGACAGCCAATATTGGCAGTGCGCACAAATAGGCGTCGAAAACGTCACGCAACCAGCTTTCGAATCGGGTTGACATACGTTGGCGGCCGGCGCCATGACCGCCGCTGGTGAAAACAGCTTCTTGTTCTTTGCGGTGAAAAGTTCTCCTAGGCGAAGAGGCGTCAACGTCAACTCGAGCGGATCAATCATGCCGTGAGCAGACTCGTATCCCAGCAATGACGGCGGTGCCAGAAGTAAGGTGCTGCTTAGAACAAAGCAGTCGCGTCATCAATGCGTCGTCCATGGCCTAAACATACGTAGTGAATGAAACAGTATCGCAATAACGGCTGTACAAAAGAGAGCAGTGAAAGATTTGTATGGTTCACTAGCTGCCGTTACAAATGTTCAACTGTACACAATAGGTGTAACCCAGTTAGCGACAAAAGGCATACAGCGAAAACCTGTGAGCGTCCAAGTTGATCTAATAACGGAAGTGCTCGCCAACAAAAAGATGAAAGAAATCATCAGTGCTACGCTGAGGAAGTTGCTGGAACGATTCTTTTTATAGCAAGATCACCGTAGGAATAGGACCTTACGGGTGACAATCAGCCGATGATCATCGTAACTAACGGCATCTTTACAAGCGCTACTAAATGTCGCACCATTAAGGAGGACCCCATTCGATAGACGATAACAGCAGCGCCAATACGGAGAGAGATACGGTGAAGACATTCGAATGAAGATCGTAGAATGACGTACAAAGCAAGAGCCTTCGCTACAGCATCTGCGATGACCTGTCCGTAGCTGATTGTCATTTGCAACAGCCAGTCTTTCTCGTACTCTTCAACCGTCGTCATTGCGCTCACAGCGGCCAGAGTCCGAAGAGTCATTATCGTCCTGCCATGCTCCTCGCAACGGCACTCTATCCACGGTCGATTTAGGCGAGAGAAAAGACAACGGCCGCCGCCGCCGCCGCCGCCGCCGCCGCTACCACAAATCGAGTCGAATACGAACGAGCGACATCGCGTAACATTCACTCACTATTACTACGACTACGACGCCACCGTCGCCTCCTCCGACGACAACAACTAGGAAGATGGCTGCGCAAGGGATATGCATTGACAACAGACAATAAAAACGTTAGCGGCATAAACAGCCTTGGCCGCAACCGAAGCGCAACTCGTAGCAGGAAAGCGCGAACTGCAACAACGTCTAGCATTCTTTTTTCTAGGAATACGACGAGGACGTCGTTTAGTAAGGTAGCGTTTAGTGTGTTGACATTAGGAAAAATTGGCAACACGAGTCTATTGCTGTTACTAAAGGCCGAATCCATCCAATCAACCCCCCTTTCAAGAGGTAACGGGCGAGAACATCGAAGAAGAGAAAGAGAGAGAAAGCGAAAGAGAGACGCGCAGTCAGCGAGAGCGGTGGGTATTATAAGCAACAGAATACGAGGAAATAGCGAAATGTTTTAAAACGAGAAGGAAACGCGACAAGGTTGTGTGTGTGCGTGTCAACTCGAGGCGTGTTTGTGAAACGGGCGCACGTCAACGTGTGCAAGTATCTACTAGCTGACAAACTCCAACAAAGTAAACGAACTAAGGCGCGAGCGATCTCCCATTAAGAAGGCAACGGGACGCCATGCGACGCGGGGAGAGCTCCGGCGAAGCAACAGACGCCGAACACTTCTATTACTACCACTACTATGACGAGTCGGTCACGACAGTGAACTCGCGTAGTGGCCGCTATAGGAAGGCGCAAGAGGGAAGCAAGCAACGTATCTCTGTGAAGCGTTGGGTCTTGCACAAACAGTCATAGTCGCAGCTATCTGGGGAAGAGTTCCAGATTGTGGAAAGCGCAGAAAAGACAATGCTCGGTATTATCGCGGACGGGGAGATGAGGAACCCGTTTGAATAGTTGTTCAAGGCATGTCCAAAAAAAGTTTTCGAAAGCAACGCGAAGCCCGAAGTGTCCCATCAACTTGAATCGACAGTTCGTTGACGAGTATCTGCAAAGTATAGTGCCTCATTATTACAAATGTATAAGGATCTTTTATAATTGTTGTTGCTCCTGCTGCTGCTACCGCGGAGGTGATGTTACCCCCCACCGCCGCCGCCGCCTGCAAATCGTATTCGTCCTGAAAACAACCGTATCATAATGAAACTCTTCCCGTACAACCTAACAGGAGATAGTTGTCGCCTCTCGAACGCTGCTATTTCGTCGTATACCCTCGTCTACGCCTTCAGCTGTTTTTGACAAAGGAATAAGGAAAGGTTGTGAGTGTCAAGAAAGACCACCGAAAAAAAAGAACGAAGGAGAGAAAGATAGCGGCTTCCAGAAGTCTTCAAGAAAACTAGGACCTTACGCTACTGCTGTTTCTACTCGTACATGCTACATTGTGGGTGGCTATTGTGTGTTTTCTGTGTTTGTTGTGTATTAGTGAACGGAAGTGTATATAAGGAAAGAAATCTATATACGTCATGTAAATATAGATCAATTCTCTATATTCATTGGGTCAGCATTGTCCGTCGGGAACGTGACACCTACTATAAGTTCTAAGTTCTACGACAACTATTCTTATACAACACCTCTTATCGACGTTGCCTTGAGGCTTTGTTGCCAGTTGTCTTTTATTTCCACGATAATAATAACAATGATATGAATAATAATGCTTATAATAATACGATAAAGTGTAGGTGATGCCAAAAAGGTCGAGCATAAGAAATCGAAGCAAGACAAATAAGAGCCGCGCAACGTAAAGAACGGTGCTTTACCAGAACCGAATACACTGAAGGCAGGGGTGAAAAGTCTGATTAGGATCAACAGGTCTGGGGTTGACTTCGGCTTGATGACGCAGCCGTCAGCGATCACAACGGTCGGGGTATCGCGTAATAGCAAAAATACAACGTAGATGATGACGACAGCAGCGGCTGCTGCAGTCGCAGTAAAAATTCAAGACGCGGCTGCAAAAGGCGCGACTGTGTGACCCGTAACAAATGAAGTGGCGTTTCACGGCAGATCTACATTTCTATAGATATACAAAAAATATTTAAGTACATAGGTTAATAGTGTTATCAATGTGTTGTCGTCGTCTTTATTCTGTTTCTTTGTGAAAGTGTGTTCTTGGATCGTCTCGACGCCTCGGGAGTGACAACGGTCGAAGTGGAAGCCCATGATCGATGAGGATCAATAATACGTTAACGGTTATTGTTTAGTGAAAGAAGGCCATTGCTGAAAAAATAGGGTACCCCTTACCTATCGCTGGTTCTGCCCGGTGCGAGGCACCGCTGTAGCAGCAAAGAAAACTGCCCGGGGGTTTATAGTACAGCGTCGATTGGTCTTTTTTTATTTGCATATAAACTTTTGCCAGGAGAAGCAAAGTCGACAATGTCTTGTGCGATTGCTGGCTAAGTCCTCTCATCAAAACAGGAAAAGGAACAGGGAAAAGTCATATATTGGTATACAGTGGCACATCATCACCTCAGTGATTTGTATCGCGCTCAGTGACCACTACTTAGTGGTTCGTAACCCTTATAAACTCCTCCGTTGAAGATGGTGAGTAAACCCTATTACTGCTAGAATAGATGTGCATTATAACTAGCAGGCTACTTTGTTTGTGGCATATGGTATTGACGAAGCATGCCGTATCGGGTTCAGGGTAACAGCGGTCAAATTTGTCACAGGACGAATATAGCATTTCTAACTTACATTCATAATGTACATATACATGTTTCTGACTTAGAAGTTCTGGAACTTCTCCAACAACACAGTCAAAACATTGTATTGTCACGTAAAGGATTTGTTGGTGGGATTTTAAACTGTTTACTCTAAGGTCGACGAAATCTTCAGTCACTACTTAACGTCACTGTTAGCACTTGTGATACCTGTGCGTCTGCCCCATCGCCTTAATATCAGCCGGTTGATTCTTCGCCTGCCGTCATTATTATTTGTTTTCATACATTATCTCCCATTTATTTCCTGCGTAAGTTCCTATGAAGAATAGATTATCTGCTGCGAAGCAAGACTACCGATATACGTATACGGTAGATCCGACTTCTCGCCGGCTACTAGCGTGAGCTGGTCGGCATTGACGTTATTGATCAGACAAATGATGCGTTTAATGGATGAGATGATTTCGATCGTTGCAAATATGGACATGAAGGTGATGTAAACTATGTAGCAGATACATGTACGAGAATAATCGCAAAGTATCGCTTAAAAATACACGTATGTAAATACCCCTGCTTTGCTTTTCATTCAGCTTGCTAATTGGTGAAACGCTAGCCAACAGTTATATACGACAGCTCGATCGTGGGAGGACAGCTTCAAGATTGATCCTCTACTCTACGTGGCTGTCACAAACCATTAGTTTCTAGCTATTGTATATGGATTGTCTTTTTTGTTCGAATGGCCTCGTCGCATCCTTCATCCGAGGCAACCTCCAACATCGAATTATCTAATATTTTATATTCGTTTATCTAGATATATATGACATGATAATTGTGGATAATGTTGCTGGCTGTTGGTGTATTCGTATATTCTAGGGACAAGCGTGCATTGATGAATTCTCGTCAGTTAGTCTCTCAGCCCTTCGCGTAGTTTGCTGTTGGTACAGAATCAATGGCAGCAGTGGGCCAGGGCAGTGAACGGTAGTGCATTGTCATGACGCGCCCTACGTAGTGCGTGATTTTCTGTTGTTGTTTTCGCTGCGGCCGCCTCGAATTCCCCGACCACTGCCCTTGCGACGCCCGGAGACGGTAGCGAAAGGCTCCAAAGGCGCCGTCACAATAACAGCGACGACAATATGGTCAGCAGTTCCAGACGATAACAGGTATACATTCTGTCAGACGGACAGAATAACAAAAAGACTGGCGATAGCTTACGTCTTTGAGGCGTCCTGTATCAGTGATCCCTTTTGAAGCCGGCCAACTGCTATTGGCGCGTATTGTAAGCACGTTGGTACTCAGCAGCCGTTCACGCCTGCACCTGCTGCTGCTGTGGGAGAACGGCCGTTAGGGGAAGCACTTGGCCATGCTCGGCAAACCGCCATCGCTAACGCCCCTTCCCGTGGTAGCTATTCTGTTTGTTGCTAGTATTATTGCGGCCACTGTTGTTATCGTCCAACGCCGTCCGTGGCCATCGGGTTGTGATCTGCCGCTTTCCACCATCTGTCCATCCTCGATAACAGAGAGGAGAGTACATACGCTCGGCCGACGTCACATGACCGACGCCAAAGGGCTAACGGTTACTGGCGTAATAGAAGTGACGACGTAGACACCAGTGGTGTCTACGTTGACTACGATAATAGTGCTATCATCGACTTTTCCGCAGCGTATCGTTACTGGCCACATGGCCGTCAATATGCGATAGCTTTATAACATAACACTTGAGGTATCGTATTCGAGTGTAACAAAATTCGACACGTATAAGTGGTACCCGCCGTCTACGGTAGCTGCTAGTATTTACTCCATCGGCTAGATGTAAACAGATGTTATGCTGTTTCACATCGGCTGAACCCGTCTTTCAACCGTTGTATTCCCTGTTTCGGCATGATGCAACACATAGATTAGAATTAGACAACAACAGTAGCAACAACGACGAGCTTAACCCACACATAACCCATCAACCTCCTCTCCACCGAGATGAGTGAGCGCTTGCGTGCGTGCCTGCCTGCCTGCCTGCCTGATTGCCCACCAGGACCGCTGCTCACTTCGCATTGCCAACGCTCGTGCTCGCTTAAGGTCGTCAGCAGCTTACGTACGTTCGGCCTCGGCCTGCGTAAATTGACGCCTATAGCAGTAGCAGTGATTGCTAAACTTAGCCATTCGAGCGGGCCCAAGCTAGAAATGCGAGGAGGATATCATAGCAAAATAGTATGAGCAAAATACAGGGCTAGAACTGCATGATAAGCCTAGGGATGTTATTGTCGCCGCCGATGATTCTAGCTACCCTGTCGTTGTCTAGCGATCCTATAACGTTGTCGGCCAATTGACAGGCAATGCAGGATATACGCGCGTAGCTTGGCTGTAAGCGAAAGCGGGGATGGGCATAGCATATCAAAACAATGTATGTATAACTGTGTATAAGTATAGCTGGTAAGCGGCTGCTAATCGGTAACAGAAAGCGAGTACAGAATTGCAAGTAATAGTAGAACACTCAAAATAGAGCCGAGTCGCGCAGGGAACCGGTGGACTATTGGATACTGGTGTTTCTGCTGAGAGCAGAAAAAAGGGGATCGTCTTAGAGAAACGGAAAAAGTCATAGGAGGAAGAAGACAAGCTGATGATTAGGGGTTAGCGGAACAAAAAAGTAAATGCGCATTGGTAATACATTTGCTTAATGGCAATGGCAAAATTAATTCTTATGGGCTGTATGCGTACATCTAAGTTCAAAGCTGAAAGGTCTCTGTGCCAAGGAGCTGAAATCGGCTCTCATCTATATAAAAAAATAAATCAGAGTTCGATGGTTTTATTTGTACTGTAAATTGTATTTGAGCCGTTAGTTTAGGCTCAGTTGAGCAATTTTCCCAGTACGGTCTCTCCAATAACAGCATGTATTGAAGTGGACGTCCGCTGAACTTTTCGTACACAATTGCTTGCCGTTCTTTCAGACGCTATGAATGCGCCTCTGTTACGACGCATCGTCAGATTATAAGGAGTACTGAGAAAATCTGGCATCAGCTGAGTATAAGCGATACTTAAGCTCCGAGTTAGCTCGAAAAGCGTTCATCCAGCTTTTTGTGTTCTGCTGCGTACATAGCATAGTGTCACCCGATGCACTATTGGAGCAGCTGAGGATTAGGACCCCCAAGTGCTCAAATTGTTCGAATCTACGAAACACGTTACCAGCAGTAACGTCACGCGGAATCGCGTGGCTATATAGGCCGCCTCTTCATTTACGGACGACCTTAGATAGAAGCATCCCCTGTGCTATAGAATGATAGATTCAATTGAAGTAAGGCGCGAGCGAGTGTTGGATAAATGTAAACCTAAATGCGTAGACATTGATTTTGTATTGGCTTATAGAAAATGCGGAAAACGTTTCGCAGATCTGCAGAACCGACTGGGTTTATTCGTTCCCAACGGCATGCAACACAATTACTTGCATCAGGTATGCATAACGTGCCCAATTTTAAAGATAATATATATTCTATGCCGCTATACATCCCAGATCATCGGAAAATGTCCGTAACTTGTTGATGTTAAGGTAACAATTATTTATCAAATCCTCAGATTCGTAACCGTCGTTCGTCTGAATATTATGCAGTGCTTGTTTCAACTAGGACGCGGCAACATTCAAATACTACTGTAGAGCCAATATCTAGGGTTGTTTTGACATGGTTGTTGAAATTTATATCAACTATGTCAAACTACGGCTAGACAAACCTAATTTCGTCACACTTTGTAGAAATTCTCAACTGTTACTGGATCGTTTAGCTGTTCATATAAATTATATAACTCCCGTACAATATGAGGTCGATCGTCATGCGCAGTACAAATACTACTTACGCCGAATTGAGGAAACCTGACCACCTGGAAACATCCTGACCACAATGGATCTAGCTTACACTTACAACTTTTTTATCTGGCAAGTTTACTTTTGTTGCTGCTATGCCCCCGTGTTTTGTCCTGACGCTGGCCAAGTGCAGAAGATAAGTTCATCAACTCCTGACTCCCTCTCAATTACCGTCCTCCTATTTAGAATTTAATGGCCTTACCAGTGTCTGTAACTCCTCCTCTTTTTCGCGCAGTAATTTTAGCTTGTCTCAGGCCTCCCTCCGTCGGCACTCAGAGGAGAGGGGTGGAACAGTGTGATCACAGGATCGCGCACACGATACAATACATACCCGTTCTCCGGAGCACACAGACGTGCCCCCCACGCAATCAATGCACCCACGTCTTTACTCCACTTTCTTTTTGCCGCTCCATATATAGTGTCTCAATGGAGGCCTCGGAAGTGACGGCCGCTGCTGTTGACGCTGTTCCGCTGCGACAGCCAGGTCACTTGGTTAGTGAGTGGATCGCAGTGGTTGGCCTATTCCCGCGCTCGTTCGCCCACACTGGCGTTTAATAAACGGCGTGAAGCAAAAGTAGCAAGAACAGCATTAAGAACACCATAATCATCAAGAACACCAAGTGTCTGATCCTACGACAGATTTATGACAGAGTATGCGTACGACACAGTCATAAATGAGACAGGGACACGGGAATGAAAACAATGCTTTCAATGATACTGTAATATAAGAGTATTATTATTCAACATCGTCTTTTCTGCCCACAAAAAGCAACATAATTTTTGTGTGTTATCATTGTCAAGGCGAGGGGCATTTCTCTACGCGACAGTATAGTAACAGCGTGCGACGTCATGTCGCCTTGCCCAGTCAAGCCTTCCTCATGGAATGTCCCTTTTGTCCGTCGGCCGAAGCAGTGTCGAACGCGGCTTGTTCTGTAGTGCTACTGTCTGGCGGTCCAATAGCTCTTTTTATGCCGAACTTGTCCATGTACGAAGTCCTATGATATCACTCCGAATGTTTGGCTAGCGCGCATTTTGTTTTC